GACAGCTACATATATATATATGTAGCTGTATTACCACATCTGGGAGTACCCACTAAAACTTGGCGCTATTGCCGTTTTCTTTCTCTCTCTACCCTTTCATGTTTCCTTTTTCCACTTTTCTTTCTCCGACATTCTTTCCGCCGCTTAATCTGATCTGCCCGTTTTTTTTTTTGTTTTTTTTTCAATCTGCTGAACGCGACCCTTCAGAGAACACTACGTGAACTTCTCTCCCGGTGGAGTTCTGTCCTTGTGTTATATATTTGTTCTCTCGTTCTTCCTCTCTCCGCATTTTTTATGTAATTTTTTTTATTATTATTATGGTGTTTGTCTTGCATGTAGGCAACCTCGTACGAAACATGTACATCTTTCAACGGTCACTGGAGCTTTGTTTACATTTATTGACTAGTCTAGGAGGGAGGGAATTATCAGGGGGGAAAGCGCCATGCCATTCCGACTATATAGCACTGGGAAGGGGTCAGGATATAAGGATTTGGGATGGGACGGGGGGAAAGGAATGGTGCCCAACCACTTGGACGGTCGGGGATTGAACTCCGACCTGCACGAAGCGAAGCACTACGAGGTTATTTATAACAACAATAACCATAGGTTGTATAGCTCCCTGGCTCGTAAATTTCTTAATGGATGAAAAGAAGGTGCCAAGATTAAGGAGAGAGATGTACATGTTTCGCCAAGTAGTTGCGTGATAGTTTGATGGATCATGGGGGCCCCTGGCAGGGAGGCTTAGCCTGTTGTTCACATCTCTTCCTCGTTCCACACCCCCCCCCCACAACACCCCCCCCCCTTCCACACCCGCAGAACCCCCCCCCCCTTCAACACATCCTGGACCAAACGTTTCTGAGAAGTCCCTCGTCAGTCTACAAGGATGGTCTCTGCTTCTCAGTCCTCCACCTCTTCTGTTATTTATTTTCGTCTATCTCTCCTCTCCTTCATTAATCACTTTCTCCCATATTCTCTCACCTTTCTCCTTCCCTGTTTCCTTATCCTGCCCCTCTCTGCTTCTACACTATCATCTCCCTTTCTTTTGTTTCTTCCTTACATGAACCCTCCTCACTTTTACTATACAGAACCTTATAATCATCCCCCATACACAGCCTCATAATCATCCCCCATTCACAGCCTCATAATCATCCCCCATTCACAGCCTCATAATCATCCCCCATACACAGCCTCATAATCATCCTCACACACAGCCTCATAATCATCCCCCTACCTTGAGGCTACCTTGAGGTGCTTCCGGGGCTTAGTGTCCTCGCGGCCCGGTCGTCGACCAGGCCTCCTGGTTGCTGGACTGATCAACCAGGCTGTTAGACGCGGCTGCTCGCAGCCTGACGTATGAGTCACAGCCTGGTTGATCAGGTATCCTTTGGAGGATACCTGATCAACCAGGGCCGACGACCGGGCCGACGACCGGGCCGACGACCGGGCCCCCATACACAGCCTCATAATCATCCTCACACACAGCCTCATAATCATCCTCACACACAGCCTCATAATCATCCTCACACACAGCCTCATAATCATCCCCATACACAGCCTCATAATCATCCTCACACACAGCCTCATAATCATCCTCACACACAGCCTCATAATCATCCCCATACACAGCCTCATAATCATCCTCACACACAGCCTCATAATCATCCCCATACACAGCCTCATAATCATCCCCACACACAGCCTCATAATCATCCTCACACACAGCCTCATAATCATCCCCATACACAGCCTCATAATCATCCTCACACACAACCTCATAATCATCCTCACACACAGCCTCATAATCATCCTCACACACAGCCTCATAATCATCCTCACACACAGCCTCATAATCATCCCCACACATAGCCTCATAATCATCCTCACACACAGCCTCATAATCATCCCCATACACAGCCTCATAATCATCCTCACACACAGCCTCATAATCATCCCCACACACAGCCTCATAATCATCCTCACACACAGCCTCATAATCATCCCCATACACAGCCTCATAATCATCCTCACACACAGCCTCATAATCATCCCCATACACAGCCTCATAATCATCCTCACACACAGCCTCATAATCATCCCCACACACAGCCTCATAATCATCCTCACACACAGCCTCATAATCATCCCCATACACAGCCTCATAATCATCCTCACACACAGCCTCATAATCATCCTCACACACAGCCTCATAATCATCCCCACACACAGCCTCATAATCATCCTCACACACAGCCTCATAATCATCCCCACACACAGCCTCATAATCATCCTCACACACCGTGCTAGAAGAGGAGATGACAAGGAGAGATAGTCAAGAGATAGGCAGTAAGACGTAGCATCACTGAACGAAACTAAAACTGACCAGACAAGGTATCACCCGGGCTGTTAAAAGAAGCAGCGCAGACCCTCAACCTTCCTCTGGCCAGAATCTGCAATGATTCACTTACAAAGGGGGTGAGTTGCCCAGCTGTTGGAAGAAGGCAAATCACAAGAACAGAGATAGAGAAGAGGCACTAAACTACAGATCAGTGTGACTGACAAGCATCACCTGCAAAATACTCCAAAGAATAATAAGGATAAGACCAGTTACACACCTGGAGAGAATTAGATATGTAAACAAATATCAACATGGCTTTAGGGAAGGGAAAATCGTGCCTGACGAACCTATTGGAGTTCTGTGATAAAGTACAGGACAGAGCATATAAGGCAGGACAGAGCAGGTTGGGCAGATTGTGTACTTTAGACAGCCAAAAAACCTTTGACACAGTACCTCAAAAGATTATTATACAAACTTGAGAGGCAGGAGGGAGAGTAAGCGGAAAAGCACTAACATGGGTAAGGAATTACCTAACAGACAAGAGTCAGAGAGTGAGAGTGAGGGGGGGGGGCGCGAGATGTTGGACTACTGTAGAATAACATCAGAGTACCTCAATGATCGGTGCTGGGACCAATACTATTTCTCATACATGTAAATGACCTGGTTGATGGGGTTCTGGGAGTTCTTCTACTCCCCAAGCCCGGCCCGAGGCCAGGCTTGACTTGTGAGAGTTTGGTTCACCAGGCTGTTGCTTGGAGCGGCCCGCAGGCCCACATACCCACCACAGCCCGGTTGGTCCGGCACTCCTTGGAGGAAACAGTCTAGTTTCCTCTTCAAGATGTCCACGGTTGTTCCGGCAATATTTCGTATGCTCGTTGGGAGGATGTTGAACAACCGCGGACCTCTGATGTTTATACAGTGTTCTCTGATTGTGCCTATGACACCTCTGCTCTTCACTGGTTCTATTCTGCATTTCCTTCCGTATCTTTTGCTCCAGTATGTTATTCTACTGTGCAAATTTGTAACGTAATGGAAAAGGGGATTTTTCCACCAGCAGACAGCAGACCAAAGAGACAGTACACAATGAAAGTGAACTAGCTCCCTATAACGACTAAAGCAGACCTGGGAGTGGACGTAACACCAAACCTAACTCCAGAGGCACATATAAGTAGGATAACATCAGCAGCGTGCTCTAGGCTGGCAACAGTTAGAACATCATTCACGAACCTAAATAAGGAGACATTTAGATCATTGCACACCACATACGTAAGACCTGTTTTGGAGCATGCAGCGCCCTCATGAAACCTCCACGTGAAACAAAAAACTAACTCAAAAAGATTCAGAAGTTTACAACGAGGCTCCTCCCAGAACTGCGAGGGATGGGATATGAAGAGAGACTGAAGGAACTGAACCTCACAACGCTAGAAGAGAGAGAGAAGGAGTGAGGAGACATGATAGAGACTTATAAATTACTTAGGGGGAATTGACCAACTGGAGAAAGGGGAAATGTTCACCAAGAGCAACAATAGAACAAGAAAAGTTCATGAATAGAACACAGTCAGTAGAGTCAGAGAGATACCTTGAGGTGCTTCCGGGGCTTAGCGTCCCCGCGGCCCGGTCGTCGACCAGGCCTCCTGGTTGCTGGACTAGTCAGCCAGGTCAGAAACTTTCCTCTTGGCGTAAGAGTAGTTGTAAATGGCATAAACTACATAAGTAGGCTGTAGAAGCCACCTCCATTCGTAATTGTCAAAGAAGATATGATAGGGAAATAGGTTAACAGTCATTGTTATTCAACAACCGAGAAAGGCGGGGTCCAAGAGCTAATGCTCCACGTAGCAGGGTGAGCATGTGAACAAACTGACCTTCATACTAATGCCTCATTCTCATCCTCACACTCATCCTCATAATAATCGTCATTCATCTCCTACACAGCCTCATAATCCTACTCCTACACTGCCTCATACTCATCCTCACACACTGCCTCATACTCATCCTCACACACAGCCTCACACACAGCCTCATACTCATCCTCACACACAGCCTCACACACAGCCTCATACTCATCCTCACACACAGCCTCACACACAGCCTCATACTCATCCTCACACACAGCCTCCTACACATCCTCATACTCATCCTCACACACAGCCTCATACTCATCCTCACACACAGCCTCACACACAGCCTCATACTCATCCTCACACACAGCCTCACACACAGCCTCATACTCATCCTCACACACAGCCTCCTACACATCCTCATACTCATCCTCACACTCGTCCTTATACACATCACTATCCCCAGGGAACTATCCAGCTTCCAGTCCTGGGATGAGGCCAGTGGGAGAGAGGATAGGTGGGTGTGTAGGTTCGTCAGTGGTGGTGGTAGTGGTGGTGGTGGAGCAGCGTGGCGGCGCTCACCAGGGGTGGTGGTGGTGATGGTGGTGGCGATAGTGTCACGGGTGATGACTATGATGGTGATGACTGCGATAGACCACCGCTAATAGTGATGGTAATAACAGATAACGAAATTACTTATGTCGATGATGTGTCGCTCCAGATGGTGGGGAGGTGGGGGAGGTGGCAGGTTGGGGGAGGTGGCAGGTTGGGGGAGGTGGCAGGTTGGGGAGGTGACAGGTGGGGGGGAGGTGACAGGTGGGGGGGAGGTGGCAGGTTGGGGGAGGTGACAGGTTGGGGGAGGTGGCAGGTTGGGGGAGGTGGCAGGTGGGGGGGAGGTGGCAGGTGGGGGGGAGGTGGCAGGTGGGGGGGAGGTGGCAGGTGGGGGGAGGTGGCAGGTGGGGGGGAGGTGGCAGGTGGGGGGGGGAGGTGGCAGGTTGGGGGAGGTGGCAGGTTGGGGGAGGTGGCAGGTTGGGGGAGGTGGCAGGTTGGGGGAGGTGGCAGGTTGGGGGAGGTGGCAGGTGGGGGAGGTGGCAGGTGGGGGAGGTGGCAGGTGGGGGAGGTGGCAGGTGGGGAGGTGACAGGTCGGGGAGGTGACAGGTGGGGGAGGTGGCAGGTGGGGGAGGTGGCAGGTGGGGAGGTGACAGATCGGGGAAGTGACAGGTCGGGGAGGTGACAGGTCGGGGAGGTGACAGGTGGGGGAGGTGACAGGTGGGGGAGGTGACAGTCTTCGACCTATCAACCTATCAATCTCCTTTACTCTCAGAAATTACATTAAGAACCACTGAAACAAAATTTTTGTTTTATTTATTGCCACATTTAGGTACAAGTGTGCCGCTGCCCTAGACTATATGAAGGGTACAGTACAGTACAGTACAGTGTGTGTGTCAAGAGCTAGCAACGTGATGCTAAACGTCCCCATCACACAGAATGGTTAGTCATACAGGGCCATGTGATCAGTAGTCTGTACTGGCAGACTCTGGGTGTATTATGAGGATATCATCATGAACACAAGAGTTAATAAAGTAATTGCAAGGCTCCAGGTACATCATGCCGGCGGATCTGAATGGCCTGATAACTGGGCATTCAGTGATGTAGTGCGGGAGATCATGCCGTAATTCCTGCTCACAGAGTTTGCACCTGGAGTGCTCAGGATTGGGAGATCCGTCACCTGTAGCCACCTGCCACAGGTAACGGTAACCCAACCTGATCCTGGCAACCACTGTGTCGCACAGTCTGGTCCACGTTTTGTGCTGCCAATAAACATAGGTTTCAGATCTGAACAAATCATAGCTTTTTATATTGGTGCTTTCAAGCAGTTGTTAGTCAGTAACTTATCTCCTAGTGGAACAAGGAAATATATTATGACAAACAACTCCACGTTAATCACACCAAATTTCACATTTGACAGCTTGACGAACGCCATGAAAATGACCGAGGGGGGGGGGGGGTGTTTATAATTGCTAATATATTCCTAAAAGCATTTAACTTAGGCCTACCCCAACTAACCTATGTCTGCCCACTACCCCAAACCACTCCCCCTGCAAATTTAGGTGAGACTAGCTCATAGCATCTGGCCTCCAAGTTTGGACAAAGAAAGTTAGACAAACATTGTCTATTATATACAGAGTTAACAGGGAATGTCTGTGCAAGGGTGGAGGCCAGGCGTTTAGGGGTAGCCTCACCCAAATATGGTGTTGGGGACTGAGTATTGTAGCAAGCACAGCACCCTGGGGGGACTGAGTACTGGAGCAAGCACAGCACCCTGGGGGACTGAGTACTGGAGCAAGCACAGTACCCTGGGGGACTGAGTACTGGAGCAAGCACAGTACCCTGGGGGACTGAGTACTGTAGCAAGCACAGCACCCTGGGGGACTGAGTACTGGAGCAAGCACAGTACCCTGGGGGACTGAGTACTGGAGCAAGCACAGCACCCTGGGGGACTGAGTACTGGAGCAAGCACAGTACCCTGGGGGACTGAGTACTGTAGCAAGCACAGCACCCTGGGGGACTGAGTACTGGAGCAAGCACAGTACCCTGGGGGACTGAGTACTGGAGCAAGCACAGTACCCTGGGGGACTGAGTACTGGAGCAAGCACAGTACCCTGGGGGACTGAGTACTGTAGCAAGCACAGCACCCTGGGGGACTGAGTACTGGAGCAAGCACAGCACCCTGGGGGACTGAGTACTGGAGCAAGCACAGCACCCTGGGGGACTGAGTACTGGAGCAAGCACAGCACCCCGGGGGACTGAGTACTGGAGCAAGCACAGCACCCTGGGGGGACTGAGTACTGGAGCAAGCACAGCACCCTGGGGGGACTGAGTACTGGAGCAAGCACAGCACCCTGGGGGGACTGAGTACTGGAGCAAGCACAGCACCCTGGGGTGGGTGACGGAGTACTGGAGCAAGCACAGCACCCTGGGGTGGGTGACTGAGTACTGGAGCAAGCACAGCACCCTGGGGTGGGTGACTGAGTACTGGAGCAAGCACAGCACCCTGGGGGACTGAGTACTGGAGCAAGCACAGCACCCTGGGGGGACTGAGTACTGGAACAAGCACAGCACCCTGGGGGACTGAGTACTGGAGCAAGCACAGCACCCTGGGGCACAGTACTGGAGCAAGCACAGCACCCTGGGGGGACTGAGCACTGGAGCAAGCACAGCACCCTGGAGGACTGAGTACTGGAGCAAGCACAACACCCTGGGGGGCTGAATACTGGAGCAAGCACAGCACCCTGGGGGACTGAGTACTGGAGCAAGCACAGTACCCTGGGGGACTGAGTACTGGAGCAAGCACAGCACCCTGGGGGACTGAGTACTGGAGCAAGCACAGCACCCTGGGGGACTGAGTACTGGAGCAAGCACAGCATCCTGGGGGGACTGAGTACTGGAGCAAGCACAGCACCCTGGGGGACTGAGTACTGGAGCAAGCACAGCACCCTGGGGGGACTGAGTACTGGAGCAAGCACAGCACCCTGGGGGACTGAGTACTGGAGCAAGCACAGCATCCTGGGGGGACTGAGTACTGGAGCAAGCACAGCACCCTGGGGTGGGTGACTGAGTACTGGAGCAAGCACAGCACCCTGGGTTGGGTGACTGAGTACTGGAGCAAGCACAGCACCCTGGGGGACTGTGTACTGGAGCAAGCACAGCACCCTGGGGCACAGTACTGGAGCAAGCACAACACCCTGGGGGGACTGAGCACTGGAGCAAGCACAGCACCCTGGGGGACTGAGTACTGGAGCAAGCACAGCACCCTGGGGGACTGAGTACTGGAGCAAGCACAGCACCCTGGGGCACAGTACTGGAGCAAGCACAACACCCTGGGGGACTGAGCACTGGAGCAAGCACAGCACCCTGGGGGACTGAGTACTGGAGCAAGCACAGCACCCTGGGGGACTGAGTACTGGAGCAAGCACAGCACCCTGGGGTGACTGAGTACTGGAACAAGCACAGCACCCTGGGGGACTGAGTACTGGAGCAAGCACAGCACCCTGGGGAACTGAGTACTGGAGCAAGCACAGCACCCTGGGGGACTGATTACTGGAGCAAGCACAGCACCCTGGGGAACTGAGTACTGGAGCAAGCACAGTACCCTGGGGGACTGAGTATTGGAGCAAGCACAGCACCCTGGGGAACTGAGAACTGGAGCAAGCACAGCACCCTGGGGGACTGAGTACTGGAGCAAGCACAGCACCCTGCGGGACTGAGTACTGGAGCAAGCACAGCACCCTGGGGGACTGATTACTGGAGCAAGCACAGCACCCTGGGGGACTGATTACTGGAGCAAGCACAGCACCCTGGGGGACTGAGTACTGGAGCAAGCACAGCACCCTTGGGGACTGAGTACTAGAGCAAGCACAGTACCCTGGGGGACTGATTACTGGAGCAAGCACAGTACCCTGGGGTGACTGAGTACTGGACCAAGCACAGCACCCTGGGGTGACTGAGTACTGGACCAAGCACAGCACCCTGGAGGACTGAGTACTGGAGCAAGCACAGCACCCTGAGGGACTGAGTACTGGAGCAAGCACAGCACCCTGGAGTGACTGAATACTGGAGCAAGCACAGCACCCTGGGGGACAGATTACTGGAGCAAGCACAACACCCTGGGGGACTGAGTACTGGAGCAAGCACAACACCCTGGGGGACTGAGTACTGGAGCAAGCACAACACCCTGGGGGACTGAGTACTGGAGCAAGCACAGCACCCTGGGGTGACTGAGTACTGGAGCAAGCACAGCACCCTGGGGTGACTGAGTACTGGAACAAGCACAACACCCTGGGGGACTGAGTACTGGAACAAGCACAGCACCCTGGGAGGACTGAGTACTGGAACAAGCACAGCACCCTGGGGGACTGAGTACTGGAGCAAGCACAGCACCCTGGGGCACAGAGTACTGGAGCAAGCACAGCACCCTGGGGGGACTGAGTACTGGAGCAAGCACAGCACCCTGGGGGGACTGAGTACTGGAGCAAGCACAGCACCCTGGAGGACTGAGTACTGGAGCCAGCACAACACCCTGGGGGACTGAGTACTGGAGCAAGCACAGCACCCTGGGGGACTGAGTACTGGAGCAAGCACAGCACCCTGGGGGACTGAGTACTGGAGCAAGCACAGCACCCTGGGGGACTGAGTACTGGAGCAAGCACAGCACCCTGGGGGACTGAGTACTGGAGCAAGCACAGCACCCTGGGGGCCTGAGTACTGGAGCAAGCACAGCAACCTGGGGGACTGAGTACTGGAGCAAGCACAGCACCCTGGGGGACTGAGTACTGGAGCAAGCACAGCACCCTGGGGGACTGAGTACTGGAGCAAGCACAGCACCCTGGTGTGACTGAGTACTGGAGCAAGCACAGTACCCTGGGGGACAGTACCGGAGCGACCCTGGTGTGACTGAGTACTGGAGCAAGCACAGTACCCTGGGGGACAGTACCGGAGCGACCCTGGTGTGACTGAGTACTGGAGCAAGCACAGCACCCTGGGAGGACAGTACCGGAGCGACCCTGGGGCACAGAGTACTGGAGCAAGCACAGCACCCTGGGGGGACAGTACCGGAGCGACCCTGGGGCACAGAGTACTGGAGCAAGCACAGCACCCTGGGGGGACAGTACCGGAGCGACCCTGGGGCACAGAGTATTGGAGCAAGCACAGCACCCTGGGGGGACAGTACCGGAGCGACCCTGGGGCACAGAGTACTGGAGCAAGCACAGCACCCTGGGGGGACAGTACCGGAGCGATCCTGGGGCACAGAGTACTGGAGCAAGCACAGCACCCTGGGGGGACAGTACCGGAGCGACCCTGGGGCACAGAGTACTGGAGCAAGCACAGCACCCCGGGGGAGTGAGCATCAGGGTGGAGGCTCCAGGTACAAGTGTTGACCACTGGGCCTCGTGGCGTCCTGAGAGGCTGCGCCTTTTGGGACATTTTGAGGTTCTTTCAAACTCACAAATTAGTGTTGTTATTGTTCTCTTGGCTATGATGGGGTTCATTGAAGCCCTGAAGGTTAGCCCTGAAGGTTAGCCCTGAAGGTTAGCCCTGAAGGTTAGTCCTGAAGGTTAGCCCTGAAGGTTAGCCCTGAAGGTTAGTCCTGAAGGTTAGCCCTGAAGGTTAGCCCTGAAGGTTAGCCCTGAAGGTTAGTCCTGAAGCTCAGCCCTGAAGGTTAGCCCTGAAGGTTAGTCCTGAAGGTTAGTCCTGAAGGTTAGCCCTGAAGGTTAGCCCTGAAGGTTAGTCCTGAAGGTTAGCCCTGAAGGTTAGTCCTGAAGGTTAGTCCTGAAGGTTAGCCCTGAAGGTTAGCCCTGAAGGTTAGCCCTGAAGGTTAGCCCTGAAGGTTAGTCCTGAAGGTTAGCCCTGAAGGTTAGCCCTGAAGGTTAGTCCTGAAGGTTAGCCCTGAAGGTTAGCCCTGAAGGTTAGTCCTGAAGGTTAGCCCTGAAGGTTAGCCCTGAAGGTTAGCCCTGAAGGTTAGTCCTGAAGCTCAGCCCTGAAGGTTAGCCCTGAAGGTTAGCCCTGAAGGTTAGCCCTGAAGGTTAGTCCTGAAGGTTTGTCCTGAAGGTTAGCCCTGAAGGTTAGCCCTGAAGGTTAGCCCTGAAGGTTAGTCCTGAAGCTCAGCCCTGAAGGTTAGTCCTGAAGGTTAGTCCTGAAGGTTAGCCCTGAAGGTTAGTCCTGAAGGTTAGCCCTGAAGGTTAGTCCTGAAGGTTAGTCCTGAAGGTTAGTCCTGAAGGTTAGCCCTGAAGGTTAGCCCTGAAGGTTAGTCCTGAAGGTTAGCCCTGAAGGTTAGTCCTGAAGGTTAGTCCTGAAGGTTAGTCCTGAAGGTTAGTCCTGAAGGTTAGTCCTGAAGGTTAGCCCTGAAGGTTAGCCCTGAAGGTTAGTCCTGAAGGTTAGCCCTGAAGGTTAGCCCTGAAGGTTAGCCCTGAAGGTTAGCCCTGAAGGTTAGCCCTGAAGGTTAGCCCTGAAGGTTAGCCCTGAAGGTTAGCCCTGAAGGTTAGCCCTGAAGGTTAGCCCTGAAGGTTAGTCCTGAAGGTTAGTCCTGAAGGTTAGCCCTGAAGGTTAGCCCTGAAGGTTAGCCCTGAAGGTTAGCCCTGAAGGTTAGCCCTGAAGGTTAGTCCTGAAGGTTAGCCCTGAAGGTTAGCCCTGAAGGTTAGCCCTGAAGGTTAGCCCTGAAGGTTAGCCCTGAAGGTTAGCCCTGAAGGTTAGCCCTGAAGGTTAGTCCTGAAGGTTAGTCCTGAAGGTTAGTCCTGAAGGTTAGTCCTGAAGGTTAGCCCTGAAGGTTAGCCCTGAAGGTTAGACCTGAAGGTTAGCCCTGAAAGTTAGTCCTGAAGGTTAGCCCTGAAGGTTTGTCCTGAAGGTTAGCCCTGAAGGTTAGTCCTGAAGGTTAGCCCTGAAGGTTAGCCCTGAAGGTTAGTCCTGAAGGTTTAATCATAAATTCGAAACTCATGAAAATCTTTGACGACAAAGAAGATGGTGATAACAATGATAAAGATGATAATAACAATGATAAAGATGACGATAACAATGATAAAGATGACGATAACAATAATAAAGATGACGATAACAATGATAAAGATGATGATAATGATAAAGATGACGATATCAATGATAAAGATGATAACAATGATAAAGATGACGATAACAATAATAAAGATAACGATAACAATGATAAAGATGACGATAACAATAATAAAGATAACGATAACAATGATAAAGATGGTGATAACAATGATAACGATGATAACAATTATAAAGATGACGATAACAATAATAAAGATGACGATAACAATGATAAAGATGAAGATAACAATGATAAAGATGACGATAATAATGATAAAGATGACGATAACAATGATAAAGATGACGATAACAATGATAAAGATGACGATAAGGATAAAGATGACGATAACAATGACAAAGATGACAATAACAATGATAAAGATGACGATAACAATGATAAAGATAGCGATATCAATGATAAAGATGACGATAACAATGATAAAGATAACGATAACAATGATAAAGACGACGATAACAATGATAAAGATGACGATATCAATAATAAAGATGACGATATCAATGATAAAGATGACGATATCAATGATAAAGATGACGATAACAATGATAACGATGATAACAATGATAAAGATGATAAGAATGATAAAGATGACGATAACAATAAAGATGACGATAACAATGATAAAGATGACGATAACAATGATAAAGATGACGATAACAATGATAAAGATGACGATAACAATGATAAAGATGAAGATAACTGATAAAGATGACGATAACAATGATAAAGATAACGATAACAATGATAAAGATGATAACAAGACATAAGAAACATGAATGAAAGAGTAGAGCGAAGACAGGAGAAAAAAAACACACACACTACTACAGGGTGTTGACGTGACCGAAGAAGTGTGAAAAAGGACGAAGCTTCGTGACACGGGTCGGTTATGACCCCCTGGACGACACTGGCGTCTCTCGTCGCTCCGGTGATCATCGTTCGGTGCCACAGTGTTTCGTTCAGCAGGACACGCAAACACGTTTTACGATAGCCACTCCCTCTCCTATCCCACCTCTCCCATGGTCACCCCCTTCCCTCTCCCTCCCTCCCACCTCGAACGAGTGACCCACTTCCCCCTCCCACCACCACCACTACCATCCCAGACTCGCTGAATCTCTCTTTGTAGTTTTAGAGGTTTTGAATATTTTGATTCTGTTGTGTTCTTTCCTCTTCCATCTCTCTGTCCGTCTCTGTCTGTCTGTCTCTCTCTCTCTCTGTCCGTCTGTTTCTCTCTCTCTCTCTGTCCGTCTGTCTCTCTCTCTCTCTCTCTCTCTCTCTCTCTCTCTCTCTCTCTCTCTCTCTCTCTCTCTCTCTTCCGTCTCTCCCTCTCTCTCTCTCTCTCTCTCTCTCTCTCCTCTCTCTCTCTCTCTCTCTCTCTCTCTCTCCCTTCCGTCCTTACACACGGAGCATCCTGTGTAGTGTGGGAGGGGGTTCAGGGAAGGCCTGGGGGGGGGGGGGGGGGGGGGGGGGGGGGGGGGGTAGGGGAATGGAAAGGGGAACTGATCGTGTGATTGTAAAGCACTGAGAACTACACCCTACACCAACACACACACACACACACTACACCTATTTACCTATTTACTGCTAGGTAACAGGAGCATCAGGGTGAAAGAAACCCTGCCCATTTGTTTCCGCCGGCACCCGGGATCGATCCCGGACCCTGGAATTACGAGTCCCGAGCGCTATCCACTCAGCTACCAGACCCCGACCCTGTACTCACCTAGTTGTGTTTGCGGGGGTTGAGCTCTGGCTCTTTGGTCCCGCCTGTCAACTGTCAATCAACAGGTGTACAGGTTCCTGAGCCTATTGGGCTCTATCATATCTACACTTGAAACTGTGTATGGAGTCAGTCTCCACCACATCTCTTCCTAATGCATTCCATTTGTCCACCACTCTGACACTAAAAAAGTTCTTTCTAATATCTCTGTAGCTCATTTGGGCACTCAGTTTCCACCTGTGTCCCCTTGTGCGTGTTCCCCTTGTGTTAAATAGACTGTCTTTATCAACCCTATCAATTCCCTTCAGAATCTTGAATGTGGTGATCATGTCCCCCCTAACTCTTCTGTCTTCCAGCGAAGTGAGGTTTAATTCCCGTAGTCTCTCCTCGTAGCTCATACCTCTCAGCTCGGGTACTAGTCTGGTGGCAAACCTTTGAACCTTTTCCAGTTTAGTCTTATCCTTGACTAGATATGGACTCCATGCTGGGGCTGCATACTCCAGGATTGGCCTGACATATGTGATATACAAAGTTCTGAATGATTCTTTACACAAGTTTCTGAATGCCGTTCGTATGTTGGCCAGCCTGGCATATGTGCTGCAGGAGACAGGTCTGGCGTGATATCAACCCCCAAGTCTTTTTCCTTCTCTGACTCCTGAAGAATTTCCTCTCCCAGATGATACCTTGTATCTGGCCTCCTGCTCCCAACACCTATCTTCATTACATTACATTTGGTTGGGTTAAACTCTAACAACCATTTGTTCGACCATTCCTTCAGCTTGTCTAGGTCTTCTTGAAGCCTCAAACAGTCCACTTCTGTTTTAATCCTTCTCATAATTTTTGCATCGTCTGCAAACATTGAGAGAAATGAATCGATACCCTCTGGGAGATCATTTACATATATCAGAAACAAGATAGGACCGAGTACAGAGCCCTGTGGGACTCCACTGGTGACTTCACGCCAATCGGAGGTCTCACCCCTCACCGTAACTCTCTGCTTCCTATTGCTTAGATACTCCCTTATCCACTGGAGCACCTTACCAGCTACACCTGCCTGTCTCTCCAGCTTATGTACCAGCCTCTTATGCGGTACTGTGTCAAAGGCTTTCCGACAATCCAAGAAAATGCAGTCCGCCCAGCCCTCTCTTTCTTGCTTAATCTTTGTCACCTGATCGTAGAATTCTATCAAGCCTGTAAGGCAAGATTTACCCTCCCTGAACCCATGTTAGCGATTTGTCACGAAGTCCCTTCTCTCCAGATGTGTTACCAGGTTTTTTCTCACGATCTTCTCCATCACCTTGCATGGTATACAAGTCAAGGACACTGGCCTGTAGTTCAGTGCCTCTTGCCTGTCGCCCTTTTTGTATATTGGGACCACATTCGCCGTCTTCCATATTTCTGGTAGGTCTCCCGTCTCCAGTGACTTACTATACACTATGGAGAGTGGCAAGCAAAGTGCCTCTGCACACTCTTTCAGTATCCATGGTGAGATCCCATCTGGACCAACAGCCTTTCTAACATCCAGATCCAGCAGGTGTCTCTTGACCTCCTCTCTCGTAATTTCGAACTCTTCCAAGGCCGCCTGGTTTACCTCCCTTTCTCCTAGCACAGTGACCTCGCCTTGTTCTATTGTGAAGACCTCCTGGAACCTCTTGTTGAGTTCTTCATACACCTCTCTGTCATTCTCTGTATACCTGTCCTCGCCTGTTCGAAGTTTCAATACCTGTTCTTTCACTGTTGTTTTCCTTCTGATGTGACTGTGGAGTAGCTTTGGTTCGGTCTTGGCTTTGTTTGCTATATCATTTTCAAAACTTTTCTCTGCTTCTCTTCTCACCCTGACGTACTCATTCCTGGTTCTCTGGTATCTCTCTCTGCTTTCTGGTGTTCTGTTATTCCGGAAGTTCCTCCACGCCCTTTTGTTCAGTTTCTTTCGCTTCCATACATGCCCTATTATACCATGGATTCTTCTGTTGCTTCTCGGATTTTTCCCTTTGGGCCGGGATGAACCTGTTTACTGCCTCCTGACACTTTTGGGTAACATAGTCCATCATACCCTGTACAGACTTATCTCTGAGGTCTGTGTCCCAAGGTATTTCACTTAGGAAACTTCTCATCTGTTCATAATTTCCCTTTCGGTATGCCAGCCTTTTGATTCCTAGTTCTTTTTTGGGGGAGATAAGTCCTAGCTCTACCAGGTACTCAAAGTTCAATACACTGTGGTCACTCATTCCCAAGGGCGCTTCCATCTTAACTTCTCTTATATCCCACTCATTTAGGGTAAATATCAAATCAAGCATTGCTGGTTCATCTTCTCCTCTCATTCTTGTTGGTTCTTTGATGTGCTGGCTTAGAAAGTTTCTTGTTGCCACGTCCAGCAGCTTAGCTCTCCATGATTCTGGTCCTCCATGTGGGTCTCTGTTCTTCCAATCTATCTTCCCATGGTTGAAGTCTCCCATAATTAGTAGTCCAGATCCATTCCTGCTAGCAACAGAAGCTGCTCTTTCTATTATGTTAATGGTGGCCATGTTGTTTCTATCATATTCCTGTCTAGGTCTTCTGTCATTTGGTGGTGGATTATATATGACTGCGACTATAATTTTTTTCCCTCCATTTGTTACAGTACCTGCTATGTAGTCACTGAAACCTTCACAGCCCTGAATGTCCATCTCCTCAAAATCCCAGCCTTTTCTTACCAGCAGAGCTACACCACCCTCACCTCTTCCTTCCCTCTCTTTCCTCATAACATAATAGTCCTGTGGGAACACTGCATTTGTTATCGTTTTCGTGATCTTTGTTTCTGTGAGGGCTATTATGTCTGGGTTTTCCTCTAGTACCAGTTCTCCAAGCTCATTTGCTTTATTTGTAATTCCATCTATGTTAGTGTACATCGCTTTGAGGCTCACTTTCTTCTGTCCCTTCTCAAATCGCCTCCTTGGTGAGTGTTCTGCTGGTGGGGGAGGCTGTTCCATGGGTGAGAGGTCCTGTGAGGTGGATAACAGGGTCTCAGAGGATACTGGGATGAGGGACGGGGGATCCACTGAAGGGAGAGGGACAGGGAGGGTATGGGGTGAAAGGGGAGGGAGGACGGGAAGGAAAGGGGGGGAGGGAGGACTCGGGATGAGGGGAGGGGTGGAAGGGTGGGGATTGGGTGTTTGGGGAGGGAGATTTGGCTGAACATTTGAGTGGGGGCAGGGAGGGTTTGGGGTAGGGGGGTTTTCTATGCAGAGGAGGGAGGCGGGGTTGTCCTCCCTTCTGGTGTTACTGGGTAGCTGGTTGTGGGTTCCCCCCCGCTCGCTTCTGGGGGTGTTGTGTTGGGAGCTGTGACTTCCTGGTTTTCCCCTCTCGCGCCCTGCGCCTCTTCCTTGCTTCTGCCGCCATGGCTCTCTCCTCCCTTGTCATGTCTCTCTGGAGGAATACATTGTTTAATTTTCCCACGTTTTTCAGGGAGCTCTTCCTTGATAGGATCTTCTCCTTTGTGCTCTCGTTTGCAAACACTATCTTTATCATTCGGTCTCGGTCTTTGTTGTACCAGCCTAGCCTGAAAACCTTCTCAATGCTATGCTCAGCCTCTTCCATGTCTAGTGCCTTTAGTACTTCATTCACTGCTGCTTTGTCCTTGTCATTCCACTCTGTCCTATTAGATCCTTCCTGCTCTTTAATACCCACCGCAACCACTGATCTGTTCCTTTCCAGCAGTTGGCTAGTGGAGCGTGCCGCCTCCTGCGAGGTGGCTGCTTTCATGGCCACCTCCATCACTGCAGTCATTACTTCAGAGTTATTTTTTTTTAGTATTTCTGCAAATGTTGCTTTTATTGTGGCAGTCTCATCCAAAAGACTATTACCACCTTCTCCCTGGGTGGTATTCTGATTCTCAGCCTCGATACCATTCTCTTTGAGGGCTCTAATCTCCTCCTTTGCTGCTGTCAGCTCTCTTTTCAGGTTGCTTATTTCGTTCTTCATTTCCTGCATCATTTTCTTGCATCTCACTC